TGTGACCAGCGGCTGCCACTTTCCTAGCCTTCTCTTCCCCTCCGCTCAACCATGCTCGGGAACTAGACAGCCATCCCATGGACTTGGGTGAGCAATGGACTGGGTAGAGCCATGAGCCCTCCCAGCCGATGACAGAGCAGCCCGCAGCACAGAGAGTACCCAGTACTCCCATCTGTGCACAACAGGCAGCCATCCTGCCCAAATGCATCCCAGCTCTCCCCAGGACAGGCTGGGGCACCCAGTTGGCAGGAAGCCTCAGACTTGAGTCCTGGGAAGCCTAAAAGATTCAGTGAAGTCCTTCCAGCCCCTACCTGAGCACCCCTTCCGCCTTCACCCACTAATTGCTTGTATTCAAAGAAACAAGAGCTTTTATTGGGAGGGGGATGTTAGATTGGGCAGAAGGGAAGGAGGTAGGTGGTCCCTGCTGTACTCCCAAAACTGGGTTTTCTAGTTTGAACTTCTCCTGGGCCTAAGAAGCTTAGGGCTGGAATGTCCCAGAGAGTCACGGATAGCCCTGCGGGCAGGCCATGGCACATTCCTTCCTTTTTCTTAAAATCCCTTGATTCTAGGAGCAAGGATTAGAGCAGTGTACCCCATGGGTAGGTGGAAGGATACCCCCCATGAGGGCCCTCCAATCACCCTTCCCAAATTAAATTACTAAACCATTCTTGGGCACAGAGTCTGTTTTGAGTGAGGCCAGCTTCAGAAAGGGTCCCTGTGATGACTACTTCAATCGCCACAATAGCCCAGGCTCCTCTGCTCAGTCCAGCCAGGACCCTAAACCTCAAATTTCTTGAAAATCACAGAATCATTGCTGGCTCTGTGTGACCAGAGAGGGATGGGGAATAGGGTACATGGCTCAGCTCCAGTATGCTCTCTTCCCTCCTCTCCTCATGTCCTGTCGTCAAGTGAGCTGGAGGCTGAAGCAGCAGGCAGAGATTGCTGAGTTCCATGTCAGACATGGGAACTGAGGCACAGTGCAGGTCAAGCCTTGCCCAAGGTCACACAGCACAGCCGGGGGAACATTGAATCTCTGCTCTTACTCCTGTGAGAGTGCTGCCTCCTGTCCTGTATGTGTGTTTGTGTGTGACATGTCTGTGAGTGTGCAAGAAGCCCCTATGCTGACTGGGATAGTGGACCATGAGTGGGTGTAGATGAGGAAAAGCAGAAAGGTCCAGGTCTATACTCCAGCCAGCGCCCAGGATCAGGCGACAATCTCCTCTCAATCAATTGCTTCCTCACCCTTTGATCATTCAGCACTGCCCAGGGCTGACAGAACAAACTCCCCTGGCAGTCCCCACCTAGCCTCAGCCTCTCTTTGGGACACAAAGGCCCCTGGGTATACAGGGCTGCACCCGAAAGGGTCTAAGGGCCTTTCCATTCACACTGCAGCCATAGGGGCTGATTGGTTGCTCAGTTGGTTAGATCGCGGTGTTATAACACAAAGGTCAAGAGTTCTTCGGATCCCCTTACCAGCAGCCGCAACACACACACACAGAGCAGGCATCAAGATTTCCAAATAAAGGGACTGTCATGTCTGCCTGGAGCAATGCCAGAGGCTAGGGCGCAGAGGAGCACCCAGCAGGTGCTCAATAACTGCATTAAATGCATCAACAGTGAGAGATGCAAGCCCCTCAAACTGAGTAGCTAGAGCTGCACAGTCACAAAACAGTCCCCATTCATGGAGGACCTGACTCTTTGGGTCCTCTAGGGGGTGAGAAGCTATGACCCCGAACCTGTGGAGGCCCATAGGCAGACCATTCATTTCCTTGTCCCCGCCCAGAGATGCACTGTGCTTCCTACCTTGGCCTGACATTCAGTACGTTTAGAACACACCTCCTATCCCCTACCAGCTAGCTTTCATGCCGAACAGCACGTTAGTGTCTTGTAGTTAGCATTCCCATAGGTGGGCACAGTATCATGTGTCTGTGTGTACACCGCATACCTATATGGGTGTGCAGTATGTATGTGTGTGTGCACACTCCCATGCCCTGTCTGCATGCAGTCTGCCCTACAGGGTAAGGCAGTCACATGGAGGATGGAGTGTGAAGGGGCACTCCCTAGCATGCTGCAGCACCTGGATATCTCCTTGAAAGGAGGTATCTGCTGCTGCAGGAGGCTCAGCCAAGAAGTGTGGTAAAAGGTGGGGCTGAGGTAAATGCTGGGTAACTATACTTCACCATGTCCCCCTCTCCCTGGCCAGGACTAATTTCATCCTGGGGTCTCAACTTGGAAGGAGAAGGCAAGAGTCACTGAACCTCCCCAATTCAAACACCCGGGAAGTGTCCTCCCTCTGGCCTCAGCCTCAGCCCCTGCCTCCTGTGGTCACAGACACCCATTGAAAGTGGGCCAGGCCCTAAGGAGCTGTGTCCTCTCTCCATAGCCCAGAGCTGGGGGCCTTGGGCTGAGGCTGAGGAAGTGGGAGGCAGGCCTGGTTCCACCCTGAGTACCTGCCCCTACCCCCCACAATCCTCACAAAGGAGCTCAGCCTGGGGCCTGGGTGCCTTCCTCTGATGGGAGGGGGATGAGGTAAGGTCTCAAAAGCAGAGCCTGTAGAGTACCCCAGACTCTGACACCTGCCCAGTCAGTCCCAAGCAGAGACCACAAGGAGGAGATGAGGGTGCACTGGGCCCTGGGATGAGGGCACTGGGCCTGGAGAGTAGGCAAGTGCTTTCTCCCCAGGCCTCTGTCCTGCCCAGAGCTGCTCCCTCAGGAGGAGCTGTGTATGGTGGAGCTGGTCAGCAGGTGAGGGGCAGAGGGCAGCCTGGGGTCTGCCTGTGGCCAGAGGAGCAGGTCAGGGCCGCGCCCTACTGCCTCAGCTGTGGCCTGTTTGCTCAAGACGCTGAGGTCTCAGGGCTAGTTAACAATTGTTGAGCAAAATCCTTCAACAAACTTCACTGAATTGCAAGGACTCAAGGAGGGAATCATTCTTGGGAGCAGGAGGGTAATGTCTTCGTCTGTGCCTTTTGAGGGCGTATTGCAACTGCAACTCGGCTACCACTGTGTGGGAGAGAAGCTAGAAGACTGAAGGCTGCTGGTCCAAGGCTGGGAGACAGCAGTCACCTGGCCTACCAGGCCTGTGCCTGAAGACCTGGGAAGCCAGAGCACAGACCCCTGGCCCCAGCAAAGCTACCATGAAGGAGGGCAGAGGCTGCCAAGGCCTGGGCCTGGCTGATTTGGATTTGGCCAGGCTGTTGAAGGTGCAAAACAAGGAAAGAGGTAGAGGAGACTGTGGGGCCCTGTTGGGCTCTTGAGGTCTCCTGCTGCACTCGCCAGCCGCCTAGAGCCAACAGAAATGTTTCGTCTGATTAGAAGCCATCATTTCTATTCCAATCCCGGAAAATTGACTGCGGTGCAGAGAGGGAGGCCTAAGAAGCAGCCTTAGGGGAGAGGGTCCAAGCTAATTAGGAGGCAGCATCCGGGGGCCCATTAGAGCGACGGCTGCTGTCATTCAGCCGGTTGAGTTCCCGGGAGAAGGGGCCGAGAAGGAGGGGCGGGCGGCCCCTCGACGAGGACACCGCTGGGAGCTGCCGGAACCGGCCCCGGCCTCTGCCCCCGCCCTGCCGCTGGCTCGAAGGCGCCCGCTCCGTGCGATCCTGCTCGGCGGCGAACATTCACTCATCCTGGGCTGTTCTCGCCGGGGTCTGGGGACTTCGAGGCGGCCCAGACAGGAGTTAATTCTGAGCGAAACAAGTCATCTGGGGCCTGAGGTGGGCAATAGCCGCGCGGGACTTGCAGGCCAGATGCGTTTCTTTTGTGAGGCCGAGGGAGAACTCGGTGTGTCACCGGGGAAGGAGGGAGAGGCAGGCGAGGCCGCGGGGGGCGGGGAGGCGGCGGGAAGGTGGCTGCGGAGGGGGAGGGCGCGGGCGAGGCAGGGAGGGAGGGC